AACTACTGATGGCCAGTCTAGTACTTTCTGAGCATCCCAAGGGATCGCACCCAGTCTGTCCAGCCATGACCATCGGGGACTTGGTTATCTAATCTATGCACAAGAGCATCAAAGAGCCGAGCCAGAAATGGCATCTGTGAACAAGCTGCGGTGGCACGTACCTGTAAAACTATCTATCACACAGGAGGCTGGGGCAGGAGGAGCCTGAGTTTGAGGCCAGCCTGGGCTACATAGTGAGTTCTAGGCTAGCATGGGCTACGTAAGACCCCCCCCAGGAAGAAAAGAAAGAATGAAGGAAAGGAAGACAGACAGGAAGAAGGAAGGAAGGAAGGAAGGAAGGAAGGAAGGAAGGAAGGAAGGAAGGAAGGAAGGAGGAGATTTGGGGAAAAAATGGAGAAAAGTCGGGAAGGGGAAACAGATGGAGGGAAGGAAAGCCACCTTTGTCCCTAATGTGGGGTGGCCATCCTCAGAGCTTCATCCTTTACAGCATCAGGGGCCCCAGCTCAGTGAGGCACAGGCCAGGTCCTCTGCTCCTGATGCTCACATGTGGTCCCAGGATGCAGTCTCCCAATCGCAGGGCTTCACTATGGAAACAGGAGCTGTGCACCCTACTCCCAGCCCAGGAGCCAAAGCTAGCAGAAAAGGGTCTCAAGAAAACCTGCAAGGTTCCCCAGCCTGGACCTGGCTCCTAGGATCAAATAAAGCCACAATTGGAGAATCTTGCAGAGACTTAGCTGTCTACCTGACGTGCAGGGTGAGTGGTTCCTGGCAGGCAGAGCTCCCAGGGAGATTGGGAGTATTTCTTGCTTCTACACAGACCCCCATCAAGGTTCTAAGTTGACATCTTGCCCTCTTCCTGCCTCAGTCAGGACACCTGTCCCTGAGTACCCACGCTTATTCAGGGTTTAGGTGGCCTGTCTGTCCAGATGACTGGACCACCGCCGCCCAACTCAGCCTATTCACAAGCCCCCTATCCTAAAAGCCCCACAGAGAATCCCTGTTTACTGGGTCCTCATCTCTCTGGAGGGTGTCATGGGTACTGGACCACGATTCTACAACTATCACTTGGGAGCCAGAAGCTCTATGAAGGGCTCGTGACTAGGTACCACTGAGATGTCTAGCTGGGGCCACACACCCTCAACCTCCAACTTTCCAAGACAGCAGCTTCATCTCCACCCCAGGGCACCACGCTAGGACCCAGGCCTAAACCTCCATGGCCACATGGATTCCGTGTGAGGATGGAATCTTATGTATCTGTAAAACAGAGTCCGTGCACACTGCTCTGGTTGGAAACAATCAAGAAAGTGACAGGCTTGAGGCAGACAGTCATGTGATGGGCTAGACCAGTAAGGCAGAGGAGTCTACAGGAATGTCTTGTGGGAAGTGAGGATTTGACCGGGTATACAAAGATCAGAGTTGTTCGTGGGATGCTGTTACAGGAGAAATCCCAGGGGGGGTTGACTGGGGGCTCAGAGAAGTCCCTCTGAGCTTGAGATGGAGACCAGCCTTTGCCCTTACAGAAGACTGTCTGAGCTCTTATGAGTTCCTAGGAAAGGGATGAATGACAGTTTTATAGGCAGTGTCTGAGTTGCGGGTCTGAAGCATTGTCCAATCCCACCCCCACCCCAGAGGACGGGGATAGGGCCTGATGATGCACGACTTCTAGATCTGATTTCCAGAGGCCGTCAGTTACCTGGACAGCCTGCGTGTAGACCCCTGCATCCTGTAGACCCCTGCATCAGAGAGCAAGGCTCCTCTCCCCCCAGGCACATGGCCAAGTGCCTATCTGAGTAGCTCTATCCAGGCCGGCCCCTGGCACCACAGAGGGAAGCAGGGGCGTGCAGGACTCAGGAGGTAGGTCTTTCAATGCAGGGAGGACCTGACACAGGAGGAGCAAAGGATGGCTCGGGCTGGGAAAGGGCTGGGAGACAGTAGGAACATAGAGAAAGTGTTTGGAAATGTAGTTATAAGGTCCGTGCTGGGCCGGTCCAGTAGGCCAGGGCAAAGCTGGTCAGCGATGGCAGAGGGATCAGAGCTGGATTCCAGGGACACCGGGACCCACCCTGCCACCTGTCACTGCTCCTTCAGCTCCCAATGTTGAGGCCACCATGCACGGGCACCAGTGTATGAACAACCATCCCTGGAGGTGAGCGATGACATCGCTGGGCTTTGGGTCTTGACAGCTGAGAGCGCCAAACATGAGGACCTGTGCCATTCTGTCCTAGGCACCGTGAGTAAGCCTTGTCTCTCGAGCGTTACCTCTGCAAACCTGGGGGTTCATCTAGAACAGCAATGCCCACCAGGCCACCGGGAGAAGAAGGGCTGGTCTGGGGTTCACACTTGCAAGGTACCAGTGTTTGCTCACCCGGCTTCCCGCACTGTGCCCTGGCCACAGACACCTGAGCCAGTCAGTGCCTTCCTGGAAACAGGATATGAAGCTGGGCTGTCCTCTGTGGTCAGTACATCTGGCAGGGCGGGGCTGGTCAGTGCTGACTAAGGCAGGGCCCTGGGCCAGCCTGGGTCAGTAGAGGAGGCCCAGTTGCAGAAAAACACAGAGCTGGGGTACAGAGAGGATTGTCGGGGGCAGAAGCCCCGTCTTCTATACAGGCAGAGAAACTGGACTCTGAACGTCTCGTCACGCCTCAGCCCACCTCCCATAACCCTTTCAGACACCGCCAGCTACATCTACACACCTTGAGTCTCAGTGGGCTCAGTGACAGCCTAAACTCCACATAGCTCCTGCTTCACCACATGGCACAAGAGAACACAAGTTCCAGGTCCCCAGACTTGGAGGTCACACGTCCTTACTGACCACACCCTGAGGTACCTTGCTTCAATGTGCCAATTACGTAGTCTCTGGAACCTTTGGCTTACTTCTGAGGCAGGGTCTCTCTCTGCATAGCCCTGGACCTAACAATCCTCCTGCCTCAGCTTCCCCAGTGCTAGGATAACAGGCATTAAACACCATGTTAGGGTTTGCTGGAGATGGCTATATATTGATTAAAGGAGCAAGAGACGGCGAGATTCACTTGGCGTATTAGTGATACAGCCGGCTCCCTCAGTCACCCGCCTCACAACTATCCGAGCTATTCGTTCTCCAAACAGTGGGAGCCTTTCCACAACCAAGGAGGAGCATCTGTGGCTGCTCTTCCCTCTCCTGACTCCAGATCACAGCTCAAAGATGGTCACCAGATGGCCAGGTGACACTGACAGGCAAGAGGCCAGCACAGGGCTTCTCGCTGCTTTTTCACACCTTATATGTGGACCTCTTTGCTTGTGCAAGGTAGCTTCCCTGGAGCTAGCCTTTCACACACAGAGCTGTAGATCTGGGGCTGCGTTTTTATTCAGCGGCCTCCTGACCCTCACACACAAGCCATTGCACCCTTCTGTCCTGAAGAATCCCAGGGCTAGGAACCAGCCAGATCCTGCCCTAGAATTTGCCTCCAGAATGACTCAAACTGGCCGTTCTAAGCTGTGAAAGCTGTTCGCCCAATTGCTGTGCCTTTCTCCTGGAAACCCCCAATGAAAGCCGTGGCTTCTGCCTTCCCCTGGGTCAGCCTGGCTAAACCTTCTATGGCTTGAACCCTGGCTAGGCAAATGCTCCTCCGAGTCACGCCCCCTGCTCCTCACTGGGGGATTCTAGGCAGGGGCTCCACCACTGAGCCATGCCTCCAGGCCCTCACTGGGGGATTCTAGGCAGGGGCTCTACCACTGAGCCACGCCCCCAGCCCCTCCCTGGGGGATTCTAGGCAGGGGCTCTGCCACTGAGCCACGCCCCCTGCTCCTCACTGGTGGATTCTAGACAAGAGCTCAACCACTGAGACACACCCCCAGCCCCTCACTGGGGGATCCTAGGCAGGGGCTCTACCACTGAGCCACGCCCCCTGCTCCTCACTGGGGGATTCTAGGCAGGGGCTCTACCACTGAACCACGCCCCCTGCTCCTCACTGGGGGATTCTAGGCAGGTGCTCTAGACGACTGAACTATATGTCCAGCCCTTAAAAAAAAAAAAAAAAAAAAAAAAAAAGTTTTAGACAGAGTCTCACAAAGTTGGCCAGGCCTTCCTTGAGCTTACTCAGTAGTCTAGGCAGGCCTTAACTTCAATCTTCTGCCTCAGTCTCCTGAGTAGCTGGAATTACAGGCCTGCGCCTTAAAGGCCTGATTTTTTTTCCTCAATGGTGCTGGCCTCTGTGGTAACATTAATTTGCCTCTATAAGCAAACCCTAGGCATTGTTTTAATATGCATGATCATCCAGTGTCCCCAAGGAATGCCACAGCACACAAGAGACACACCTATCAACTGGACAGGGCTTTTGACAGTTTGCAGTGGTACCAAGCCATAGAACACCAGATCCCTTCTGGACACCTCAGGTCATTGCTTCAACACACCCATTAGACCAGGTTTGAGGTAGTCTGGTATTTTGCCTATTTTACCAAAGAAACCAAGGCTCACTAAACTTAAATTTGCTTTCGGCCAACAGCTCCTTTGTCATGCTGTGTAGGTGCACAGGGAAAGGTTTCCCCAACCAGAGGCCTGATGGCCACGGGGTACAGTCAAGACTGAAGGCCCATCCTTAGAGGTCTCGAACCCAGGGAGCGCAGGCAGGAGAAGGGGACTTACTCACCTAAGGCAGGGACAGCACTGCTGAGCCTCCCAGTGAGAAAGAGGTTCACTGTGGAAGACACAAAGAAGTGTCAGCAAGGGACAATAGCTCTTGGAGGCCAGGCACATGTTTGGGCTAGCAGTGAGCACAGGACAGTACAGTTGAAGTCAACAAGCAGGCCCCCTTTCTCTCTCTGGGCATGGCTCTACCACTGAGCCACTGCCAGAGAATCTCCCTCACAGCTCTTCCTTCTGGGATAAGCAAAGGTGAGGAGCTCAGAAGGTCTCAGGACTTGCCCTCATACACCCACAGCCTGGGACAGCAGTGTGCTAGCCTGACCGCATTGTCCTGTCACGACACTCAGAATTAGCTGGTTTTCTGTCACGCTTGATGCTACCCATCACATGGGCTCAGTCCCAAGAACTTTGCATTTCAAGAGGGTCCCCACCACCTTGAGGGGCTTCCTCCCTTGATGGACGTTGGGGTGACAATACCACCACCCTCTTTCAGGCACCCCAGTCTCCTAAAGGCAGAGTTTTCTTTCTACCACAGCAGTGTCTACCTCCACAGGAGAGTCCTTAGCTTCCATCTACTGTTTTGCTTCAAGGGCTCCAGATTGAGACAGAGCATCTAGGCAAGTGAGAAGCACATCTAACTTCCTGGGGACCGGGGTACCCCCTCCCTGATTGAGGCATTCATCTCTGGAGCAGTCATTCTCCATTTGGTGAAGAAACAGGGCACGCACCCCATTCCCACCCCCAGGGCATTCGGACTCTGCTAGGCCCACACATGGACATCTCCTGAGCCAGGGGGATCTTACCTCTGCCCTGCCCACCTGGGAAACACAACATTGGGGACCCAGATGCCATGGCCACCGAGCGTGTGGCACGCTGGGCATAAGCCACTGCTTTGATTAGCTCACACAGCCTATGTAATACACCCCCCTCCCACCCTCCTGCAGGAACACTAACCCTTCTCTTTTCCTGGGGGCCAGATGAGAGTCACAACTCAAAATGAACAAGCCCCCCCACCCCCCGCCACCTCTCACTTCACTTGGTTTTGGGGG